ATGTTTTCTGTATAATGACGATTGCAAGAAATATTATCTTATTTTGCTAAGTTATTAGACTATCATCCTACTACACATAAAATCCAAAAATGCAGCTAGTGTAGATTTGTTCAAACCTGAACCCGAAAGTGTAACAATGGAAGTTTCTTACTCCTAATGGCCTGGAGACATGATACAAGTAGGACCTAGACTGATTGTATAACATAATATCATAATAGGCCTATATAGTATATTATATAATTTTTCAAGAAAATTAAATATCATGATAATCATAAACAATTTACGTAATTGACGAGAAATTTGGTCCCGAAGGAAAATACTCTTCTCAGTGGCGCCTCCAAGATATTTTTTGGGGGGAGGAGGGCTGAGCTGTCCGACAGGGGGACTTGAGCTCGTAGGCCCGAGCTGGGGGAAGGGTTTGAGAGGGGCTCCACTCCCAAATGAGGTTTTTTTTTTAAAGAATAGCAACCTCTGTATGGCCAGAAATGACACTTTCAGACTGACAGACAGGTGTTGGCTTGGCGTGGGCCTATCTTATATTCTTTTTTAGTTCGACTGCCTGACAAGCTCTGTCCTCTTGGGAGGGGGATTGACCTGTCCGGTGGGAAGACTTAAGCTACTGCTCCCCCCACCCCTTGCCAGAAAAAAAAACTTTGCATACCTTCTAATTAGGATAGAAATGTCCTGTTTCAGCCTTAAAACAATGATTTGTTGAATATTTTAATGTCGGGTCTCAGAGGGTATGACAGAACATGTAGTGTGTCGTTTGGCACCCGTACTCAGGCTCCAACAGATCTATACCATATGCAAAGAACTAAGACCCCAATTAAATAGAACGGTCATGCATTTAGTGATTCCACTAAAATCGAAATCTCCATATTATTAAAACATGGAAGAAATCAGCTTAAAGCTGCATATTATTTGTGGCATATAGGGTACTGAATAGAATAACAACTACTTAGGTAGCTCGCATGAATGACCACAAATGAAATGTATAATATCATCAACAATTTACTTTGACTGAATGCTAAATATAATTACAATGTAAATTGTCAATGTGGTCGCGTGTCATTACACAGCACACCTTCTCTGTACTTAAATCTGATTCTATTTGTGATTTCAAATTTATTCTTTAAATAAACAACACGCAAACCGTATATAACACTGATTGTATAACATAATATCATAATAGGCCTATATAGTATATTATACAATTTTCAACAAACTTAAATATGATAATCATAAACAATTTACGTAATTGATGAGAAATTTGGTCCCGAAGGAAAATACTCTTAGGCTTAGTGGCGGCTCCAGGATATATTTTCTGGGGGAGGGGGCTGAGCTGTCGGACAGGGGGACTTGAGCTCGTAGGCCCGAGCTAGGGGAAGGGTTTGAGAGGGGTTTCCCGTCCCAAATGAGGTTTAAAAAAAAAAAAAAAGAATCCAACCTCTGTATGGCCAGAAATGACACTTCAGACTGACAGACATGTGTTGGCTTGGCGTGGGCCTATTTTATATTCTTTTGTCAGAGAGACGTATCTGATTATGCTGGGAGTATTTTCAAAAGATGAAATCTTCGGCTCAAAGTTTTAACCATCTGATGCCAAATGCTCGGGAGTCGCTTCAAAATCTTAGGTGTAACTGTGAGTTTTCTTTTCCTAGACTCTTCCTAGAGTTAATACGGTACGTTCAAAACATTTTTATTACATTATTTTTATTACAGTTATTGGTATTTCCAAAAATATGTAAAATACCCCTTCCCTGTTTCTCTATGACAGTACAGTATTTAGGCTGTCTCTTATACACATCTTTTCTCTATGACAGTACAGTATTTAGGTTATTGCTTTTATTTTATGGTCCTGCTTCATTTTTTTTCAATTTTATATTTTAAAAAATTTGGATGGTTGTCTTTCTCTCTTTTTTGGTTATTTGTTATCATTTAAACTGTTCAACTTCAATTTGATTGATATGTTTTCTGTATAATGACGATTGCAAGAAATATTATCTTATTTTGCTAAGTTATTAGACTATCATCCTACTACACATAAAATCCAAAAATGCAGCTAGTGTAGATTTGTTCAAACCTGAACCCGAAAGAGTAACAATGGAAGTTTCTTACTCCTAATGGCCTGGAGACATGATACAAGTAGGACCTAGACTGATTGTGTAACATAATATCATAATAGGCCTATATAGTATATTATATAATTTTTCAAGAAAATTAAATATCATGATAATCATAAACAATTTACGTAATTGACGAGAAATTTGGTCCCGAAGGAAAATACTCTTCTCAGTGGCGCCTCCCGGATATTTTCTGGGGTGGGGGGAAGGGCTGAGCTGTCCGACAGGGGGACTTGAGCTCGTAGGCCCGAGCTGGTGGAAGGGTTTGAGAGGGGCTCCACTCCCAAATGAGGTTTTTTTTTTTAAAGAATAGCAACCTCTGTATGGCCAGAAATGACACTTTCAGACTGACAAACATGTGTTGGCTTGGCGTGGGCCTATTTTATATTCTTTTTTAGTCCGACTGCCTGACGAGCTCTGTCCTTTGAGGAGGGGGATTGACCTGTCCGGTGGGGAGACTTAAGCTCCTGCTCCCCCTCCCCCACCCCTCAGCTGGTGCCGCCACTGCTTAGTATCAACAGCACTTTATCCCAAGGCCCAGCACTTTATCCCAGGGCTACATGCGAATTTGATTTTTTAGCTCTAGGAACTAGGGATAAAGATATTTAAAAAATTGAACTTAAACACTCTTTAAAGTGACAATCCAGTAACAAGAGACATACACACAAGATGCTTTACATAGACTCATTTTGAGGTTTTGGTAGTAAGAAAAAATTAAGGAAAAATCCTGTTACCGTGACAGGAATTGAACCCAGGACACTGGAGTTGGAAAGCAAGTTTAACCACCAAGCTATTCAACTACACTCTTCTCAAGCACATCAGGCAAAGTAGTACTAACTAGAGCAGTTACTCCACAGAGTTCATGCATCCGCTCTGTATACCAAAAAATACGTAGGCCGTCCGTGTATGGGCGATTTTATTGTTTTCATTTATACTTGCGGATCAGTTGAAGGGGTAAAAATTGAATTTACGTGACCTTCTCCTTTGACCACTTTTTCCCAAACATTAATCATTTTTTTGTTATGTACAACAAATTCTTATTCATTCTTCAGTTTTTGCTTACTTGCTAACAGACATTAACACCAATCCACCTACTATGTTACAAAATATTTTATCATGATAACACAATCTGTTTTGCATTGTGGTATCACTTGAAGAAATGAGATTTGTAGATAGTTCAGATGTATAGATTGATCTCCATGTACCAGATAATATGGTTGTTAGTCCACCTGAAATCCTGAAACTGGTTAAAGAAATTAAGCCCAACAAAACCCATGGTGGCCCTGATGGTATTCCTCCGTGGGTCTTAAAGGGGTTCAGCTACACATTGCCTTATCCGTTTTGGTCATTTTTAATATTGTGGTATGACGGACTGGTATCCGTCCAATTTGACGAAACTCATTTTTCCGAATCTGAGATTTCCGAATCCACTTTGCCGAACTAAAAGTATGGAAACTCAGATTGCCATACTAAACAGTTTGTTGAATGCCCTATTCACCGTCGCGGGTAGAAGTACAATACAAAGAGGTGTAATGTACTTTAGTCATTTAGAATAGGCCTATAGGATATTTGACATGAGCGGGTGGGTGGGGGCGGGGGAGCTGATGGAACCGCGAAGTTTGAGTGAAGCTCAAGGATAAAGTAAAGATAAGAGCCATGTCCAGCCTGCCAAATAAGGTGAATTGAGGTCATGTTTAGCAACTTTGGATTTAGGTGCAAAATGTGACCAGAAAATGGTAAATTTTACACGTTTTTTAGGCTTACTCCAAAAACTAAAGCTAGTCTGTCACTCGAATGATGTGCACACATTATATGTTAATTGTGTTACCAAACAATTACCAAAAACTTATCTTTTATGATTTTTTTGCTAATTTTTTTTTGTTTTTGGCAGACATTATTCAATTTGTATTTCGGAGTTATAGTATGTCAAATGCTTTCGCCCTAAAAAAATGGGCAATTTTACACTTTTATCCTAAAATGGTATTTTGAAACTAGTATGTTATAATACTGAAAGATTCACTTTTAATATATTTGGTATCATACAACAACTATTAAAATTATCTAACAAATGACGTGTATGATGATATATTATGTTAATGTTGTGACCCAGAAAGTACTAAAAAATGTTTATCTTAACTAAATTTTAAAATACATGTTTTATTTATGAGAAATACTAAGCTAACAAACTTTTCATCTGATATTTTCCCAAAATCTGCGCCCTTGCCTTAACCACTCGGCCATACATCATTCAAAAGATAATGTTAATAGCTTTAATGGTACCAAATATAATTATTCAAATTGAATTTCCCATTGACGGACTAGCTTCAAAATACCATTTTTGGGTAAAAATGTGTAAAATTTTGGAATAAATCCAAAATTCAACGTGGCTCCAGCCCATTCAGTGTGAGCCAAGCTTGTGGTTCTGGATCTGGTTCTGGTGGGTAAAGTCGAACTCCTAAGGACTCCAAAAGTGTAGAGTATAACAGGAGGGGTGTTGAGCATTCACCTTGTTGCCAGCTTTTGAGCACTTCCAATCCGATGGCCACCTGTCTATTTGCAAAAGTAATATAAGATTATTTATCTTAAACGACTACGCCGATCTTGCTTTTTTGCATCCTTGCAAAAATATATCCGAGGGTTGGGGGCTTAGCGGAAATGTTCATTAGTTTGTGAAGTATGTTTATCACTAGGTCTCTATCTGATTGTCATTAAACAACACTCTATAATACTGTGTTGTTATGTCTACTATGTTTTCATTCTTCTAATTAACACATCATTACAATAGCATACACCCTCTTTGAATGGACATGTTTTATTC